CTCATCGTTTCAGCCATCCCTATCTGTGAGTAGCCCACTAAAAAAAATAGCAACTGCTAACTGTTTAAGCTAACTTTGGGTCTTTGGAAGATTGGGAAAAGTCATGTCACGATTTATATTAAAGAATAATAACTCAGAAATCAATATTAGTTCAAAATGAACAGTAGATTGATGAAATGGCATCACGAAGAACAATGAACAGAATAGACTGATTAGGGAAAAGTAAAAAGCAGTTTTTAAGTTTGTCTTTGACTCACATTTTAAACATAGTGTTGCACGATTATAAACTACTAAGATCAACTGACAGGTTCAATTCAGTTTATTTATTTAGCACCGATTCACAACACGTCATCTCAAGGCACTTTACAGTTCACCAGATCATCCAGTCACATTGATTCATCGAAGGAAAACCAGTTAATTGCATCAACTCATTGACTCGGATTCAATCCCTCACACTAAGCATGCTTATAGCTACAGTGGAGAGGAAGAAACCTCCATCAGAACCAGGCTCAGTGTGAGCGGCCATCTGCCCAGGCCAACTGGGGTTCAAGGAGACAGAAGCAGAGATACAAAAAGCAACTGTAAAAGGCAGCCAGGAAACACACAGCCAGGCAGACGAGCTCCGAGCCAGCTCCCATGTCAGAGGATGAAGAGAGCACATCCAGCCAGTCACAGTCAGAGAAACAGGACTACACTGGAAAACAGGCCCATCTCCAACATCAACAGGTTAATGAAAACATTGATCAAAGCAGCTTAGTGAACCACAGTAACTCTGAAGGAGCTACACACATCAACAGCTCAGGTTGAAGAATGTGATGAGAAGACATCAATCAAAGCTGCGTTTAAGGGAAGGTGTTAAGAGATAACGGGTATGGGATACATCGGACCCATAAAGGAGATGCTCTGACCAGATGAGTGTTTTTGCTCTACATTTAGCGTTTAGATCTGAGAGGAAGATGTGTTGAACTGTTAGATGATGCAAAAGGCTTTAGGTTTACAATCCAGTGATGCAAATGTCCAACATGCAGCCAGTTTTACATTGGAGGTTTTAGATGAAAATATATTGATGTGTAAGAATAGCACAGAAAGCCCAGACCTAAATCCAATCAAAGCATTAAAAGAGATATTCAGAAACTCCCATCCAACCCAAATAAGCTGAATGTTGTTTGTTTATGTGTTAACATAAATAAAGCGCTTTGAAGTTCTGAAATATCACTTGATGATTGATTAAAGTTCTGCCTAAACTTTTCATGCAGCTGGAGATGATTTGAGGAAGCAGCGACTTTTAATTGGATGATTTCCATGATTCAATATTGAGATTTGGGTTTGGTGTCAATGCAATTTTTGCAGACTTTAAACTAATTGTAACGTGTGATCTGTGATATAAAACTATATTCTATATTTTTTCTTCCTATCCTCACAGGGTTGTTTTGGAGGATCTGGCACATGGACCTTGTCCAGTCTGCGGTTCTGTATGCAGTGATGACTCTGGTTAGCACATACCTGGTGGCTTTCGCCTACAAGAACGTCAAGTTTGTGCTCAAACACAAGTAAGAAGGATAATCAGAAGCACTCATTGAGATCATGTCGACGATTAAGGGAAATGTTGAAAGCTCTTATGCTATTTATGATCGACTTGTTTTTATTGGCTAATTAAATCTGGTTTAAAGCACAGTTTGGAGTGGAGTTAACACTCCTTTGTTCTACAGAGTCGCCCAGAAACGTGAGGATGCCGTTTCTAAGGAGGTAACCAGGAAGCTGTCTGAAGCAGACAACCGCAAGATGTCACGCAAAGAGAAAGATGAGAGGTGAAATTACTTTTTTTTTTTTTATTAATAAAATTATACTGAATATTGTGTTCTTTTTTAACAGCTTAAACTAAATTAATATCTAAACAACACTAGTGAAACCATCGTTCACTGCTGTTTTTTTCCCCTCCAGGATCCTGTGGAAGAAGAACGAGGTGGCTGACTATGAAGCCACCACCTTCTCCATCTTTTATAACAACACCCTCTTCCTGGTGCTCGTCATCGTCGCTTCCTTCTTCTTGCTCAAGAACTTCAACCCAACTGTGTATCCTTTCAAGTTTCAGCATTTATTACGAGATATCTGATGATCCGAAGTAAAAATAATGCAAAATATTTTTAACAGTTAGTTTGCTTAACAAAACATAATTCTCTTTAGGTTGTTTTGAACAGAAATTTTATTGATCAAACATCTGCTCTTGCATCGTTTGTGAAGCGAGAGGGTAGTTATAATCAGAACATTTTGTTGTTTGGAAAAGATGGATTTATTTCTCCTTAACCCAATGTTTCCCAGCAACTACATTCTGTCCATCAGTGCCTCCTCGGGACTCATTGCTCTTCTGTCCACCGGATCGAAGTAAACCAAGAATAGATCGGCAGGAAGTCAAGGGGTTGATGTTTAATATGGGGGGGGGGGGGGGGGTTAGGAAGTAGAAAAGGACAAAGGATCAACATTTTCTGTTGTGGTTTAAAAAGATTCAGAATACCACATTTCACTTTCACAAAATTGTTTGTTTTTTGTAACAAATAAAGCAACCAGCTTTACCTGTTTGTCTTCCTTCCCTTTGTTCAGACCAGTCTAATAACTCTTATTGGGAAAAGCATAGGGCAGTTGCAACCAGCTCCCTAAAAGCAGTTTTTACTGCGTTACCCTGATGCTACTGAGGAAAACACTAGGAGATGACCTTTGAGAGGCAATCGTTGCGGTCTATTCATCTAACAAGAGTTCAGCGGTGATTCCCAGCAATCTGAACAGCAAGTTGATAGTTATCAAAATTGCAGGCCGCTCAGTGATTTCAGCTAAAGGGCAGATACTGCAATCTATGGATAAGTTGCAAAAACACCTGAAATATAGCCCACCGTTCACCCCCGTATGTTAAAGGTGTAGTGAAGGATTTTTCCGATCATCTAAATAAGTGGTCCTCCCAACTGTCAATCATTCTGGTGATATGTTTACGTGGTGATATGTTTTTCGGCTCATGTTAACTTTCAGGTGTACATGTGTAAGCTACTTTTCCAGTTGCCAGTTGTTGAAGCTCACCGTTTTCACGTGGTTCTTTGAAAATGCCACAGGGTCATAAGAAAGTGTCTACAAAGTGTATGAGAAGAAAAGAAAGGCCTCAGAAACACAGGCGTGACTTTCTGAAGGACTGGTGTGGACATGTCCCCACTAATAATTTCAATACATAGACTTTGGCAATATGGCACAAATGTCTAAATTAGATTTTTTTCTGGTTTTGAAGGAGGATAAACACTAATGTATCTGAAAGGGAAAACATCCATCAATCAGTCCACATTTTTCTGGAGTGCTTCATGAATGGATGAAACTGAAATTGTGTACATACTAGGGAGGTATGATATATTGCTGTTGGCATCAGAATTGGCTGTTTTTTTTATATACATTGTCTAACTACCTATAAATATAATTATCAGTGTATTTTGGTTCTTTTGTGTTCTCAACAATAGGAAAGCATTCAATAAATGTTTGAGCTCATTTTTGGAAAATACAAACCCTTTTTGAAAGCGTTTGTGTCGAGTAACTGTAGGTCCATCACCCACCACCCTAAGAGTGTCCCCAAAAACGTTCATCACAAAGTTACACTCCTTTCATTATTTGTATTCCTAAAGATCCATGGGAAAGATATCAAAACTAAAATAAAAGTATAGAAAACATCCACCGATCCATCGTACGTCCCTCTCCCCAGCCACTTGGGCCAACTCCTCCTGGGGAATCCGAAGGCGCTCCCAGGCCAGCCAAGAAACGTAGTCCCTCCAGCGTGTCCCGGGTCTCCCCCTGGGCCTCCTCCCGGTGGGACGTGCCTGGAACATGTGTGTGTGTGTGTATAGAAAACATAGCTTTCCTAAATATGCATAAAGTCCAGGCCTGAGCCACGTTAGGGAGCAAGACATTCAACAAATCCTGAAGTTTGTTTCACAAAAGTTTCAATTATTCATATATGACAGTAATAAAAGTAATGGAAACTTTACTTTTGCTATGACTGTTACACCCTGTTCAACATATAACGCAAAGACCTTGCTTCATTGGCAATGCATGTATTTATTATCACACATTCGTAGGATATTTACAGAGAGAGCACTCCTCAGCAAAGAGACGGTACACGGATGTTTGGAACATCAAACATAAAAAAAAAATCTAGACGTTTAGGTTTGACATTTAAATATAGTAACAGAAGGAAGGTAGAAACAATGGGGGTCAATGATGTCGTGTTTCACTAAACAAAAATAGATTTTTGGATCAGTGATTTTTTTTTATTTTAAACCTGTGTTTGGATCTTATTGCATAGCAGCTAATTTATTATTTTTTTCCCCTTTCAGGCAACAGGTGTTAAGTCTACCTGTTATCTTACCGGCATTATTTATTCTTTTATTTCTTTTTTTTTGTATGGCTTTTAAGTCCAAAATAGTTAGCTGCAGTCTTTGGGGCAGAGTGGTTCAGAAACACTCCGCATCCAGTAATTGGTAACAGACGTGTTTCCCCATTTTTTTTCCATAAACGATCCACCTTCATTTGCAGGAACTCCTTCTATTTTCCAAAGAGCTCAGAAACAAAAAATATTCCCACTGAACTGGAATCAAAAAGGCAGGCTACTATTTACTGTCATGTTAAAAAATAAGTTAAAGTAGAACATTAGTTTTTACTTATGAATACAGCTTTGATTCTCAAGATTCTGTTCTGGCTTTTTTCTGATGATTTATACTATTTAAAAATGTAAATGCCTCTATACTAGTATGGAAAGACATCCCTGAACATATTTCCTCATTAAGACACTGTTTGGCCATACCAGGGGTCTGCAACCATTAGAGACAATTATATATATATTTATATATATATATATATATATATATATATATATATATATATATATATATATATATATATATATATGTTTTTTTTTGAGTGCAAGATTTTTTTTCTATTCTATTTTAAACTAAAGCAAAATAAAACTTGTGCTGATATAGGGTGGCTGCATTTCATTTTATAGGATATTTTTTTGTAAAAAAGGATGAAAATGAATAGTTTCCAGCCTAATTACAAAAAAAAGGAAACCTATTGATAGGACTGTAGGTGTCATTCTAATGTTAAAAATTAATATATTCACTAAGACATATCTGGAGGTATAAACAATAGGTTGATCCTTTTAACTTTTAAGTAGAGTTATGAAATAGGAAGGTCCAAATGGCCACTATTGGCTCTGGGGCCACAGGTTGCAGACCCCTGCCATAGACTAACACAATGATGAGGGCTGCGACCCCAATTACATAACAACGGCCCTAACGTCTTTTTTGTTAATTTCTAATGATGCAGATTTTTCCCTTTGTGATCAACTGATCTTCAAACTTTCAAAAGATCTTAAAAATGTTTTTCCTCTGACTTTAAGTCCCTGTATCTGAACAAGAGAGAATCAATTCTGCATTGCAAGCATAGGAGAATAAATTAATGTGAAAAGATCTAAACATTACCTTACCTTAGGAAAAACTGGTTGTTACCATCAGTTTTTTTCCTTTATTTTGTGTTTATTTTGTGTAATGACTTCATATGATTTGCTGCAAGTACTGTAGTAAAAATCTCTTGAGGCAGCAAAAATTGAAATAAATAAAAAATAATTAAATTGAGTCTGCCTCCTTGGAAGAAAATGTGAGGTGAAAATGGAACCCTGAAAATGTTTTCTCTGGTAACACACAAGCATGGTCTGTACGATTCTTCTAAAGTTTCCACAACACGGCAGCCTGTGTTTTTCACAACCAAAACATTTTTTAAAACAGCAAAATTTAGCTGTTCTACAACAAGTAGGGGAGGGGTGGAGGTTAAATTCTCATCACTATATCAATTTCAGTGAGATCCCATTAAAACGACTTCTAAACCACAGGAGCACTCTGACAACATTTTGAGAGATCATGAAAACGCTTTTCTTGTTTTTTATTTACTTGTACCATGAGTACAAATAACAGCTTTACCATAAAGCAATTAGCACAAAAAGCAATGTATTTTTTTAGTACTTTCTCAGCTTTTCTGTCCCTAAAACACCTTTAGTTTTGAAACATATCCAAGGTCCAAGTCTTAGATGACTCAAAGTAAGCTGTGAGATAAAAACGGCCTTTTATTTGACTTCAGTGTAAAACCATTTTGGCAAGCACAGAAACGGCCACTGCAGAGATTTAGAGGCCAACTGTGCTGCACACCAAGGAAGGACATTAACTCCTCTGAAACACAGCCAACATCTCCACTGATCCCAAAGATAGCTTACTATTGAACTATTGGGAGTCAGAAAAAGAATGATGATAGTAGGAGCTTGGGGTGCAAGAGTAATGCATGTTACAGGCCAGTTCATAGTTAATGTTACATTAAGGAAACAATGGAAGTGACCTCTGCTCTTCCTATTGAGCTTAATGTCCCTCCAGAGATAAAAGCAAAGACTATATGTTTATCAAGTTACTCTGAGGGAGTAGGATTAAATTGATGCAACGTTTCCAGCAACACTGCAAGGAGAGCAATAACATATCTCTATTTACATCTCATTTATAGAGTTGTCTTACAGTGCAGGAAAGCCCTCATATGCAAGACAGGCTTCTTGGTAGTTTGCTTATGTTGTAGGATAAGCTTTACACTTTTATATACATTTTACAACCTTGTACAAGCCATTCTTTTTACAATGTCAAAATATATTTTCAGATTCCATAAGCAGTTTATAACAAGTTTTTTTTTTGTCTAATACATTGGGCTCATTACTAAGAATGTATTTTTTAACCCCTACCAAAAAAAATAACCAAAAGCGTTCAGCAATACAGTCAATGTTCTTTAATGCTGATTTGGCTCCCATAGAAAGGCTATCTCATCTATAACTTCAAACTGAGGAATCCACATTTTATTTAATGTCTCCTTATTTGTCAAGCATGGATGCAGTTTATTAACATTTCCACACGGGGGCGACATGCTTTACTTTTTGCCCTTTTCTAGCATGTCCAGTTTTTTTGTCTTTTTTTTTTTTCTGGTACCACAGTCATCTTGCTTCGCCAGGGTCGCACAGCAGGTGAACTTGCAGCATTTCCCTCCAAAAACTAATCAAAAAGAGGAAAGAGGCACACTGTAGCAGAGAAACATGCATCTATTGGTTGCTATACTCCGAGATCTGCAGCCAGTTATGTCTACTCATTAATATTCTGTAAAATATTGGATTGATTATATTTAGAGGGCTTCAAAGATGACCCGAGCAGATGACTGTTGGTCTTATTTATATGCATAAAGCTTGGTTTTCAAGCGTTGGTGTGTCACTGTTGGTAAAGACTACCTTTCAAGAAGAAAGTAGGATCCGGTACCTCTGACAAAGGAGGTTAGAGTTTGAAGCACATATGGTCATTTATTTTGCCACGCTGTTTGGCATGTTAATAAAAGCAGTAAATAAAGAACTTGATCAGCATGCAGGTGAGGCCTCAACCTGTCCACTCATCTGAGGTCTGTCTAATTTGAATACATACGCTGCCTCTGTATCCTGCTGTGGAATATAAAGAAAAAACTTTTTTTCTGTTGTGCTTAAATTAGCTGTGAAAACAGGCCAGGATTAAGTAGGTTTTTGATTCAAGTACTTTATATGTCTTCAGATGAATAATCAAGGTGCTCTTAAAGAAGGCACTTTGAATTGAAAGAGTTCTATAATGTAGAGTCTAATGCAAAATGAGTCGTAGTTGTGGACATGCTAAAGTTTTGACTTAAATTCATCTTTTCTAAAGCCGAATGTGTGTTTTAGCATGCTATTGGGTCTGAGCTACTCTAAGTTCTGCATAGTTGTATTAATGAAACCTCTTTACAAGCTTCCTGACCAGCAAAGACTCGAAGATCAGTGGAGGAAGGTTTAGATCTAGTAAGCTGCGTGTGAAGCTCTGGAAAGTCTGAGCTTTTCCCGGCTAAGCTGAACCGCACTTGAGATGAACCTCAGTATTAGAGAAGATCGAAGCAGAAGCCCCGACCAAGCATTGTTAAAGAATGCAATGCTCGGATGTAGCATGGTTATCCATTTCCGACTGGAGTGGTCTGTAGCTGGTTAGGCACATCCAAGGAGAGAACTTGTGGATCTGAACTCCAAACCAAAGCAGAGTTGAAGGTAGAGATGTAGTCAGGTAGTCTTCAGCAGACCTGTAGTTGGTCCATCAGTGCAGTCTAAGAGCGGTAGTCCTTCTTACTGTAAGGTCTGTTGCCAAGGATGTGGTCGATGTCTGACACAATGTGAGAGGTCATCTTAGGAAGGACCTGGACAGAACAGAGGGTCTTTACATGGGGGGGTAAGCATTCCTAACAGCCTCTGTATTCTAAGTTTTCACCTACATAGCCGGACTACAGTAAATAACTCATATAGCTTTATATTCATTCAATCAAAGTTGGCAAAAAAAAAAAAAAAACACAAAGAACTGTAACTGTGAGAAACTAGGGATTTTGTCAAAAAAAAAAAGATCTGTAGGAGTTCTTTGAAATAGATCAGTGACCTGGATGCACATTCCTCCCAAAAAGTCCTGAACATGACGGATTATATCTGTGAATATTCTCAGTCATCGTCAAGCTTGAAAAAGTTCAGTCTAAGCTACTGGATGTGATTTTTTTCTAGAAGATGTTTCTCCTCTCATCCAAGAAGCTTTTTATTTCTAAATAAGGGTGGGGAGCACTGAGATTAATATACTGTACTGTAGGTCTAACAAAGCGTTAGCGGGAACTAAAGGTGGCTCTGATCTCTCCTACCGGATTGGCCATGGAGGTCACCTGGGTGGTGTTGATGGTTGTTAGGGGGTTCTGATGGCTCGTTAACTTCCTCGTCAGAGTGGTTTCGGTCACATTGAATTGTGAGTCAGGTGGGGGAGAGGTGAATCTTCTGGAAATCCTAAAAGTGTTTTGTAGGTGGGTGAAAGGTTATACCTACCTCCTATGACCACCTCCTCTGTTGAGAAATGGTTTTTCCAGGTTAACAAAGATGGCTTCCTTAACCCCTTGCTCAAACCATCTTTCTTCCTTTGTGTTAGGTTTATTCTTTAAACATCATGTGCATTGTTATTTTGTTAGCCAGATTAGAAAGAGTAGAGGGCCTTCCTTCACATGGTTGATATCACTGTGTGTACGGAGACCATCTAATCAGGACAGCCTTCGTGTCTTTAAAAATACACAGGATATGGGCACATCTTGGAGCCGGACTGATAAAGGAGAGCTATATGTAATCCTGGGGTTAAAGAGGCAAGATGCATAAAGGTCAAGGCATGGATGGTGTGTCAGTTTCTGATACGGACAGTTAAGCATCCACATAATGCAACACATGGATTCATAGGGTATAAGAAGGAGGGAATGACCTTGTTCGGGGCTCAATCTTTGCTCAATCTTGGCTCAATCTTGGACCTGGAATAAACACTGTTACTTTTTTACTCCTGTTTTATAGTCCTGTTTAATATGGTTTTACCCAGTTTGAGTTAAGAGTAGTAAATAACTTGCTATTAGGTAAAGAACTGGTAGGGAAGTTCCGAGGCGCAGCCGCTTTCAGGGGACCTAACTTCCATATTTAGCACAAGAATATGGATCTTGTGGACTCATGCTTCAATGAGGCAGATTAATTGACTATTAACACCCCCCATGAGGGGGGAGTGTTTGCCTAGTGGTCAGACCATTGTGCTTGTCTTCTGAGAGGACTGCAAGTACCCGGTAAGATCCCTACAGCCTCCACTCTGGGTTCCTGAGCAAAACCCTTAACCCCATATTGCTTCCTGGGCGTCACACAATGACAGCCCCCTGCTCCCCAAGGGAATGGGTCGAATTCAGAGGTACATTTCTCCAATGTGTGATCAGTAAAGTTCAACTATTATTATCGTTGGCCAATCCAGTGGGAGGGAACAAAGACACCTTTTTTCCCCCAATTCTTTGTTACACCTGCACTGTATTAATCTCAGTGCTACTCAAACATCTAGAAAACTTCATGTACAGTTGCCTAGACTGAACTTTTTCAAGCATGACGTATTATGTGTATCCACAGTCAGACCAGTCGCTACAGTTTTTAAAGTACTTGTTGATGATAAAGAAAATTGTCCCCCAAAAAGTGCCAAAGCAGTAAAACAAAGCAATTCAATATTCTGATAGATCACTTTAACATGGCATTAACCCTAAATGTTTATGATGACCCAGATGTATATGAACAAACACAGATGAAAGCAGGAAGGTGCGTGTCGCTACCTGAATGGCCCCGAGATTCTCCGTAAGCTGCTCAGGGTTGGATGTTCCCAGAAGAACTGAACTCACTCCTTCGTTTCTTAAGCACCAGGCTGGAGGGAATCACAACAAACCTCCTTTGATCATTAATACACACTGAATATTTTTGTTTTGAATCAGTGAATTTTATAACGAATAAGTTTGTCTGTTAAGTAGATGCAGATAACTCAGGGGAGTTTGAAAGGGTGTAAAGGTGCTACTTTGGTGTTTTATCACCAGCTAGGTAAAACACATTTGATTGTGTCTTTAAAAGGTGACAGTCACAGTTGAGTTGCTGGTTCAGCAGCATCTGTCACTCATCCTTACCCACAGCCAGCTGAGGCAGAGTGCAGCCCAGCTTCTCTGCAATGTGGTTGAGTTCTTTCAGCTTGGCTTGCTGCTTCCTTCCATCTTCACTGACTATTTTTTCTTTCAGCCACTGATACGACTGGCGGGAGACACAAGACAGACAGAATGAAAAATCAATAGAACAGGAAGTTATTTCCAGAGATGTAGAATAAAAAAAGACTACAGATAGGGTAAATAATTGCATGCAAAGGGAAAAGTGTCAAAGAAATATTTTTCACAGTTGCAAAACAACATATATGCATAGCTATTATTCCTTTAACCCTGCTTTACTGGAGACTTTTAAAGTAGAGAAGTTAAGTATAAAGAAAAATGCCCAAACAAAGGGGAATCATCAGGGAGCAAACACAAGGATCAGCATACTTCATAGCTGTTTTAACCAGAAGGTTCTACTTATATTTTAGCACAACATCAAAATATACCCATAGCTTCAACAGTTTCATATAAAAAAGTTGTACGCTTTAGGCATCCATATAGAAAAGGCTTTAATGTCTAGTCATTTTTCGAATTCTCCCTGCTGCTCCAGCAAATGGTGTGCATGAGTTAAGGATCATTGCCCTGCAGAGTAGAGCAGAGCAGATGACCCCGGGGCTTACCTTCATTGACGCCCTGGATGATTCAGGAATGCCATTTTCATATTTTCCTGTTATGATGCCACACGCTAGCGGTGACCAAGTCATCGCTCCAACTCCTGTGATGAAGGAAATCGAAATGGAAGTTAAGCAGAAAGAGTTCTGGGAATAGACAGCTTGACAACAAAGTGTACAAAGGGATGTGTGAGTGTTTTCTAAAATACTGGGTTGTAATCTTTATGCTGTCCTGTAGAGACTCTGATAGGGACAAAATATAAGCATATACACAACACTGAGTTGTTTTAACATACGGTAAGCTCTGGGTTTCTGTAAAGACCAAGATTGATATTGGGGACAGAAACCCAAAACAAGGGATGACCTTTACAATAATTTCTTCATCTCATGCTGGAAAAAATAGATTGGGGTCCAGGTGCTGAATGAAAAATGAATAAAATGGTGTCTTTTTTTATCATCAGTCTTATCAGGGATTGGTCAGCCTAACAAAAAGATGTTTATCGTACTCATTACCATGAAAAATACTTGCCTATCTTATGGTAAAGTTCAGGCAGTTGCACCTCTACTTTCTCCCTCTGAAAGAGGTGATATTCTGCCTGTTCACACACCGGAGGAATCAAATTAAACTGCCGTGCCACAGAATATGCCTCCTGGAGAGGTGAGAGAAGGAAAAAGAGAGAAAATTGATGTTATTGGAATTGAAATATAACGTGATTTTTTTAATATGTCGTTCACCTTTAATTAAGAGGGAAATTAAAACCAGAACAGGGATTTAGAAAAAAATTTGAAAATGTAATATACTTTTTTGCAACATAATGTACCTTAATGTGCAGCAGTCTGGGACATGTGCCTACAGCCTGATCATGTGGGCAGTAGGACATATATAGCAAACAGCTGCCTCATCACGTACACACCGACGCCCCTTTTTAACCCCCTTCATTACTGAGGCTTTCTAAATAACAGAGCTGTCATCGGGGCTCAAGTTATTCAAAGACATAAGCAGCGTTTTTAGTGGGATCACAGGGAGAGAGGATGTGAACAGATTGCAGTGTGCATAGAGAGGGTGTGAAGGAGACAACTTGAGATGGGTGCCCTGTTCATCACCGGTTCTTCCTCCTCCCAATCTTAAATCTTCAGAGAAACATAGGATTGTCCTCCCCCTCTAATTACAATTTCCCTGCAGGGACATAATCAGCCTTTGTGGTCCAGGGTCGCTGGGTGTTTCATTTCCTGCAGCATCAAACTCCCAGAAATAAGGCTAACAGCTCCCTGACTTCTGTCCTGTTACGTTTGGATTGTCTTTTTAAGATCAAAGCTGCATTGATAACTTTTCCGCAGCATCGCAGGTGAATTTTGGTGACTTTTTTTAATGAAATCCTCCGGTCCAGTAACGACTTTTGAATATTGTCAAAGATCTGAGTGCCGGATCCTTTGTTGCTCAGCTGGACCAAATATTGTAACGAAACAAGAACCACAGCATCCTTTTCCTCCCTGCTGAACAAGAGAAATAAAACCTACTACCAGTTGTAGTGTGTGCTTAAAATTTTAACTCAAGGCTGAATTACTGCTGCATCCAAATTATCTGCCAAGCTTTAGGTAGACAGTACTTCTGGTGACCTTTTGCTCCCCTTCCCATGATCTTTACCTGGATGGCAGCAAGAAAGGCTAGAACTATATCTCTGGCTGAATTTTTGATACAACTATCAAAAACTCATCCAAAGAGATGTTTTAACTCTCACAAAAAGAGCAACCATTCTAGTCTTAAATACTTTTAATTATCAGGAGGACACGCTGGGTCTCATGGTATGATGCCACGCTGATGTTGTGGGAAAATTGATATCTTTCTTCTATTATATATTAATATTCATATTTACTCACTATAAAAGTTTTCCCAGGCTCAAGCTTTTTATTGAGCCTTTGTTTTCCGATGTTTGGCTCTGCTTCTTAAAGTCACGTTGTTGACCTTTGCCAGGTGGTAAACAGGCTCCTCAATAATTGATCGGACTGGATTAGAAATCCCCTTCTGGGGAAAATTATCCTGTCTCTTTCTCCACTCCCCTCAGAGGTACGAACTGAGATGGAGATTGTGTTCTCCTATCAGGACCTAATGTGAGATCTCGTCGTTTGTGTGTGGCCATTAACATGTTGATTTGAATGTATCGGCCATCACACTTCCGAGTCAGCAGTTAATGGCCATAAAGGGACAGGAATTAGTAACGTTAATATTATACTTGTCAGTAATTCAATGAGTCATATATGTGAAACATATTTGATTGGCATGTTTCTTGTCATAAAACATGTTAATAAATAGAAATAGTTTACTAAAAATATCCATAAAATGTAATTTTTTGCTGCTTTTCTTTCAAAAGAAGATCCAGAGTTCATTAAAAGCCAGGAAAGATAATTTCAGTGTCACAGAGGTGTGGTTGAAAATGATCGGTCACCTAAAGCCTTAGCTTTGTGGGCGACGAAACTATCTTGTTCTGTTCACAGGATCTAAGAGACCTGCTAGAAATATATAGTGATAAAGTTTTTTTTTAACCCTACTGTTAATCCATTTAGCACCAGCAAAAACCCTGATTTAATATCATAGAAACCCCATCTGTGACATTTAAATACAGGTGTGTTAAATAAATTTAATTCATACTAGGATGATAAAGATGATTGAAATCTAACCCTAAATTGAAAATGTAAACTGAAACCTTTCAAAAGGGTGAAGAGTTCTGGTTTTATTTGCATAAAATGTTTTGCACTGGGCTAAAATAAACTGGCGGTTTTATGAAAATCTCTAAAAAGGTTTAAGTAAAAGATCTGCTTACCATGATCTCCATGGCGGTCCACCGAGACGTCCCCCAGTACATGGTCATACCTTGGTTTATCACATAGGTCATAGCTCGAACTATTTCTGCAGGAAGGGCACATTTTAAATGAAATCAGTCAGCTAGATAAACAAATTGCTAACTTAATCTTTTAAATAAAAGGTGTGCAATTAAATTTTTTTTTTAATACAGAAGAGGATAAAACAAAAAAGGCTTTTGATTTCTGACTGAAACTGATTATTCTCACAGAATCATATCGGCTTATAGTATGCCTACTTTATTAAAGTGTTAAACCCGGGCTTTGCTGATAGAGTCCTACCGGTATGTAGTTCACTTTTAATTCTGAGAATAAACTCAGAATAAAGTCATCATAATACTAACAATTTATTATTGTAAAAAATACATTATTTTGCACAACCAACGTGTTGAACTTTTATAACCCTTTTAAATAGCACACAACTCAATGTTCTTCTGCATTTTGCTCCACATTTAGTTTGCACTGCACTAAATCTTTTTTCATATAATATCCTTTGGCACCTGGTTGCTTTTCTCCTATAGTGTTTAAATTCTGCTGCACTTTATAAATGGTAATGTTTCACTGTTTCACTGTTGTAAACTGTGTGCAAGTGAATTTTGTTTTTTATACACTCTGTGCACACAAAACGACCATAAAGTTGGTCTAAGTCTACGTCTAAGTCTAAATAGGTTAAACAATTTCGGTCCTTAGGACTAAAAAAAACATTAAATGGTCACCTAAATGAAGTCAGATCACAAAAGGAGAGAAGTAACATTTCAAATTTTATCTATATCATATGTTTGGTTTGTTACTTTTATTCTCCAGATACAAAAAGCAGAAAAATACCATCAGCACATTTTTATTGTTACTTGCCTTCTAAGCAGGTGACATATTCTTAATCAGCAAAAAACTAAACAAAAACAAAACAAGAGGAGCTGTGAGACGGAGCCAAACAGAGATTAATGAAACCCATGAAACAATGACAGAGGAGGCATTTTATCTGTGCAAGCTCCTCAATCTAGAATAAATGATTGAAAACAGAGCACAGTGACCATTAAAGGTCAAATCTGTGTAACAAGGAAGCCCCCAAGTTGAGAAAAAACCCACTACCTGCATATGGTTCATCCCACACAGTAACAACCCAGGGGTTAACTAACAAGCTCACATACTCAAAGCCCCGGTGATCACATTCAATCTGCCGTGTTTTTAATGGAGCAATTAAAGCTCCAACATTGCTGACCGGGCAAGCCTGAGGCAGTCTGAGCCAACAAAAACTCAAATTAGGGCTGTCATTATGGTTATTCATCATCACAATGCGCTCACTCCAAATATAACACCATCAGTCACTGTGGCAGGACTTTAGTTTTCTCACTTCACACAACTGGTTCTTGGCAAGACAGCAGATAATAGGGAGAAATAAAAACAAGAAGAGAAAAAAACAATAGCAGAGGAGTTTAGGAAAAAGTTTAAATCTCAGTAGTCCAGACTTTGAGAAAAGCTTTTCTGTTTCTTCTTCTTTTACGAAGTGATAATTAACAGTCTGCCTTCCCAAACTGCATCCTGGCAAAGGAAATAAGATGTTACAATAAAACAACAAGATGCCAATGTCTTTGTTCCTGCTGTTTGTTTCCAGCCCTCGCCCTGCCCTCCTGACATTTTCTCTTTGTTTGCAACCATGCTGGGCCTGCATTTAAATTCAGCCTGCCACGATTTCCGGATGATGTAGGAGGAGGGAGTGCAAAGCGAGTTGGGAAAGCAGGACAACAGCTCTGATGTTTGTGGGAGGAAGTGACCGGTGGGAGTTCATAGTGGGGGAAATAAAAGCAATCAATAAGAAGGCTGGAGATAAGAAAGGGAGAAGTCTTTGTTTGTGTTCAGAACCACAGCTCACTCTGAGAAACAACAAAAAGAAAACAAGGTTTGCACAATCAGGTGTGTCGACCCAAACGCTATCAATTTCCAGCAGGGTTTCAGATTATTTTAATACTATTCATCATGTCTAAAAACCACAACATGAGAGTAAAAACACCCTTTCACATCTGCTTTGATCCACTTAGAGGTAGAAATGGAACTAAAGAAAAGTCGGGTTCAATTAATCAGCAAGTGATAAGTTCGTTCTGAAAGCTGATGTCACACTTGTTCTTTTTGTTAACATTTTTATGTCATCTTATCCAAAAAGACATTTTTTCTAACTGTTAATAGGCACATTTTGTGGGTTTTCATATTGAAGTTAAGGGTGAAGAGTGTAAAATATAGTTTGTTTGTTTTTTCATAAATAAGGGTTATCCGACAATCTGGGAAAAAAGTGTAAATGTGCTACAGGGGGGGTCAACAAAGCTGTGACTGTTGGCACCAAGGGGCCATCAAGGACCATATGGGGCCCTCACTGTCTTCTGAAAACAGACCAGAGCTCGCCAGTTTGAAATGTGATTTTATTCTGATGCTCTTCATTTATAGAGCATTTAATCATATTAATCGTATAGAGCATTTAAGCATTCATAGAGATTATAAATTGATATTTAAAGAAAGTTAGAAAAAACAGTAGAAATCTGTTTTTATGCATAAAGTTCAGGTGAACGATGACTCCTCCATCCATAGGTCAGTATTGGTAGCCCTTCTTATGACTCAGTACCCCTTAAGTAGCCCTCAGTCTTAAAAAGTTTGGTGACCCCTGCTCTACAGTCTAAAGACGCCCCCTTGTGGTCACTTAATTCATATCTAAATTAATCTGGAAGCGATTCGATTGACCCCAAAGCAGTAAGGAGGTCTGGATTTTTTAAATGAACATGAAATGTTTCATTTTTGTTAACATTATGTTTCCCATAAACCTGGAAATAGTGATTAAAGAAACAAACAAAATCTTTTTTTTTTGGGTTAGGATTGTAAAACGTTTAAAATGGAGGAAGGAGTCATGTTAGCAGGTTTATGTTTCCCATAAACCTGGAAATAGTGATTAAAGAAACAAACAAAATCTTTTTTCTGGGGTTAGGATTGTAAAACGTTTAAAATGGAGGAAGGAGTCATGTTAGCAGGTAAATGTAATCATCTCTCACATATCTAGTTCACCAAGCAGTAGCACATGACTTCATGATCAAGTTATAGATCCATGATTTTATATATTTATTTGTCCTCTGATTTAGAACTTAAAATGAGACAGACATGTGTGTTAAAGGTGTATGAGGTAAATCTCTGCTTCTGTCTGTAGGTAAAAGTTTTAACTCTCCTTCCACATTTGATTAATTGTTGTTCCCAATATATCTGCTTCATGTCAGGAAGTTTGTTTTCTCATCTCTCTGAATAATAAATTCTAGATTTCATTAGTCTGTGAAAGGAGTTTGGATTTCTTCCACATCAAAGCCATGCTAATAATGACGGTTTGTGTGAAGTTGGTGTGCTGACCTGCATAGAAATGCTATTTTCATGAAATGACTGAATACAAACATCTGCATTATTAGTTTAAGAACCCAATCTTAGTTAGGGTTAGGGTTGTCACGATACTAAACTTTTCAACTCGATACCGATACTAAGGAAAATATTCGATACTCGATACCATTTTGGATACCACAAGGATATAAACAAAGACTCTAAAATTCAACTGAAATATTTTCATGACTAAAAAAAATACAAGAAATAAATAAAAAAAACAATAAGAATAATATTTTGAGGTTGTATGCTGTGCACAATATTAAGCAAGCTTGATAAAAACTTACAAAATCAAAATTAAATGTTCCTTCCTTGGCTGTGTTTTGCAGACATACTGTAACAATGACACTAGCCAACCAGTTAAGAAGCAAAATTAATTCTCAGCAGCTGCACCTGTTACAAAAAAAGTCTGAAACTGAAAAATACACAGAAATATTCAATCACACAGTGTTCTGAAAGAGCATTTTCCTCTATTCTGCACTTTAGATGGCTGTATCGATACTTTTGAAAATGAGTATTGTATCCGGATACAACATTTCAGGATCGATACTTTTTTGAGTATCGATACTTTTGACAACCCTAGTTAGGGTAAACAGATTGTCTGCAACCGTTTTGTCGGGAATCCTTAATGTCCTGTTTTCCTTCTCTATGAATACGATGTGACAAATAATTTCCTGGTGGATCTGGTACTGAACACAGAACGAATGAATGTGAAAACACCTCAGGGCAGTATGGTGGAGGTCCTGTAGTCCTGTGGGCATTGTTCACTACTAATGAGCCTGGGAATTTGTAAGAGTAAGTGTAAAAAATAAAATAAAATAAAAAAAGTTAGAACTGTAATATACAGTCATATGTTAACATTACTTTTTTTATATGTATTTATTAATGTTTTCAAGGCCGCACTTCAAAAATGAAATTGTATAGAGCTGTTTTAAACAAAATTTATTTTTGTATACACAAAATAAATCTGTCTAAAAAAAAATTGTAAGAGTGAGTGGACTCATGGAGAGCATCTTAGGTTAAACACTGCTGAAATATACCAGTAAATTAAATGTAGATTGACTTTGTGCCCTTAAGCAGCAGTTGATATAAAGTCTGCTGACAAATCATTATCTAAACTTTTTCAAATGAGAAATGGCAACCTCAGTCCCCAGACCTAAACCCTTTAGACAACACGCACTTTAAATAAGAGAATAGACAAGACTGAAGGATCTATGGAGGCTGTGCAAAGCTGGATGATCCAAGATTCCTCCCTCTGTACGCTCCAAGCATGTGAAATAAGATGTATGTTAAAATAAATAGTCTTTTTTGATACTGAACAACAAAAATACTTTGTCTTTTTGGAATATAACAAAGTATAGCTGTATAAAAAATTTGAAAAAAGAATCTCAGATTTCTTCTTGCTTTCCCAAGTATAGAAACAACAGTTTGTATACTTTTCCATAAAAAAACACAATAAATTTTCTATAAAAATATGACTTTTAAAAACTTTTCATAGCTTATTCTTTATGCAATGCAGAACCATGCATCTGTTTACCAGTTTAATTGGAACACTATGACCAGCAGACATTTTTATAGCTACAGTTTAATAAGACGTGAGGGCGATCACTCCCTGCAAAGCAAAAGAAGTGAAGTTCCTCAGTGTTTCATATTAAAACAGATTTTTATGATTTCGTTGGTTTCAGGGTTGGTTAGATGAATATTGATAAGATGACTCACCCTCCATGGGAGTATTGCTGTCTGGACGGTTGGCAAAAACTACATCTACATATTCCAACTGCATCCTTTGTAGTGAGCCTTTCAGACCTGAGAGACAGATGAAAAATTCAACTGAATGGAGGATATTATAAGTAAAGATAGTGAAAGATTTTCCAATTTTAGCTTACTGTGAAATTAAAAATCAAAAATTTAAATGTCACCTTCGATAATGTGTTTCCTGGACAATCCTCTTTCTGTCTCGGCTCTGATGAATCAAAAAGACAAAAAACCAAATACAAACAATCTGAATCAGCTTCAGCTTTAATTTAGGTTTGATTTCAGCAGTCATTTTTGTGCTGAAAAAGGTTTAATATTTTCCTAAAACTTGTCAATCATATGGCTGACTCAGAGCAGAAGCAAATGAAATGTAAATTCCAGGATGTTTTATGCAAATGGTTTAGTGTGCATTAAACATCATACGGCATCCTGGCTGCACAGGAATAGATGGAGGCTTGAATCCTTCCCGCAGGAATGTTTTTTTTTAAAAAGGCTCTAAAGCAACTTTTTGTTTTTTTGTAAAAAACTTTTTACTGCTTATTATCAAACCCAGTAGGACAGGGTCTTCCTCACAGCTTAAAAAAAAACTCTTTCTGATTGTCAGTGTTTGTTTGATTTCGAGTGTTATAAAGCAGATGTTTTTTAATCTGTAAGAAAACTAAAGGTTATATTAAAAAGCTAAAATAATTCCTTACTGTTCCTTAAAAAAATGATTAAAACAAGATGACCTGATCACCATTTTTTTTAAATAATTTGTATTAACTTACAGACTAATTTCCCTTTGTTTAAAACAGTTTTTGTCAAATATTTGTCTTATAAATTTCCAGTTGAGATAACTTAAAATAAACATTGTATTGAATTAGCAGCATAGCTAATGCTGTACGGCCTCTAATGTGATGCAACAGAGCATGAGCTTGTGTCAGATTCTTACAATGACTACAGTGAGTTATAGTGACTCAACCTGTTTCCTCATTTTGAAAAAAACATTTAAAACCTTATTATAAAACTATAACAAAATAGAAACACAACAAATATCAAGTCTTACTGCAGAAAGAACACAAATGATGTATTCCTGTCATAATAAAGCAAAGTTTTTGTTAAATCATATTATAATTTTGATCCATTTACATACAAAATAGATAAACAAGTGCTATCCTTCTGTCGATAATAAATCTTTTTTTTTTTTTTATACCCCATTGCTACCGTTTTGGTACCAGGATGGTAAACAGTCTGAGAATTATTCAGAGTTATTTAAAAGGTACAAAATGTGTTTTCGTACTTACTTTCCTCCCCAGTAAAGCTTAGTTGTGATCACCAAGCTTGACCGCCTGAAATTATGGAAAAGAGAGGAACAGAATGACCTGGTGAGTGACACAAATTGTACTAAAGTGATTCAGTGTGTTCTTTACCCAGACAAAAGGGACGCTCATGCAGTTTTTCCACAGGGTGGTAAGTGATTGGAGAGATGACTTGTCCAACATCAGAAACATATGATGCTAACTATCCATCAGTGTGGGATTTTAGAGAAAATATCATCCATATCTAGTGTTTATGTGAATGAGAAATTAGTCCCTTTTGTTGTAGGTAGGTTTTTCATCCTTTTTTTTACATGAACTACCTTTCTGAAAGCCTTAAAATTCAAATGCAGACTTTTTTCTTTGTATTTTCAAACATTTCAAAATAAACTGAGTGGCAAAATCTCCTTATGCCTTTAAAACAGCAGTTTTTTGTTGTTGTTTGTAAATATCCAAAGTGAGGGAAACATTTTTCCAGGAATCTGGAGCTCATAACAAGAGATGAATGTCAAAAATAATCTAGAAGACTTGCAGTTTAGCTTTTCAGCAATCGCCTTGACGGTTCGACTGCTTCACTGCCAGTCAGGGGCTTCCCATTAATTATAGAAAACGAGTAAAAAAAATTTGTCTTATGAAAAACAAACAAAATTTTTTTTCCCCCTTCGCTTTCTATACAGCATCACATTTATAATGCAGTAATTTCTGTATTGATCCTAATATTAAAGGACAGATGCCTTAGTCACATGGGACAAATCGATATATGGCTGCACCTTCTCATTGCATTATTGACATAAACATCACACAAGTGGATAATGGCCTTACTCAGCTGCTTGTTCTTTCCTGCACCACTAAATTTCCTCTCTGCACATTCATGAGAACACTCATTCTGAAATGTCAGGTTCAGTGAGTCTTAACTGTAGCAGCATCAAAACGCCCACTGGTGTAATGCTGTCAGCCCGGTACGTGACACCACTGTGAGCATCATAATGATGGAGCTAAATCACAACAAAGCAGTGGTAGCTAAATGTTCCCATATGCACTGCAGTTTTTGCAGTAAACGCTACTATTTAATAATATCTCAAAAACCGTGAAAAATATAAATCTGCTCATAAATCCATAATTATTTGCTGTTGTACAATATGAAAGGATCTACTGTATAATAAGTCAGTATCTCTTTGAATAAAGATTACATTAAATGAGGTGGTGATCCCAAATGTTCCATTTGTCATTGTCAGTGTATAAACATGTAAAACTTGTCACTTTCCAGTCCATTACAGAAGAGAGCATTAATAAAAATAACCGGGGATACTTTAGTAACTCCCTAAAATGAATATTTGAAGTTGCAAGTAAATGCCTGCAGGCAAACGCTGATAGAGTGAATGTTTTATGCTGCAGTTCTGTGATATGTGTGCCTATGCACATGTGAACAGGAGAGCATAAAGCAGATATACGATTTAACCTTGAATGACAAAACAAAGACTGCAAATGTCAAGCTATGTTTCACATCCAGGCTGATGCAAAGCTGTATGTTGGTGCGTCACAGGTGAAACTTCTCGATATGAATCTCCATTACATTCCTAGATGCTAACTCAATCTGACACATTAATGTCTTCATTACCTCCAGCATTTCTTCTTGATGATGCTTCCCAGAATGATTTCGGCCCTGCAAGGCAACACAAATGAGGTGGATCTATTAAACTCCATTTAAAAGTCAGACACAGACACTAGAAAAGCATCGACGTTACAAGTCTCTGCAGTTTAATGGAACAGGGTGGTGTATATACCATCATGGTCATAAAAGGGTAATTAATGATGTCCACTGTTTCTCATAACTTACAAAAGAAAATGCCTTAATGCATGCAAAATTCTCCCTAATGCTCAAACATCAATAGTTTTATTTGGGATTTTATGTGACCAAAATACTTTGGTTCAAGGTCATAAAATCAAAAATAAATATCAAAAGTGGCAGGCTTTTTTTTATGGGTGTGTCAATCTGCTTTCAACATACAGAGGCTAAAATATTTGATTTCAGTAGTTAACTTTATCTTCATCAGACTGAACAGATGTCTAATGGGAAAGTCCATTTCCAATCATTACAAAAGATTCTCCATTTGATTTAGTTTTGGGCTCAAACTGGTTATTAAACTGATTATTGGATCACAATTGTTCTTTTCTTCCAGAAATGTCCTGTTTTATTTCCATCAACCATCCCCACAGAATGATGCAGCCGCCACTGTGTTTTACTTTGGAAAGTTGAGTCAGGAAGTATAACTTTGCTCCTAACATAGGAGCACCTTCTTCAACTTATTTATGTCTTTTTTTTTTTTTTTACATATGCTTCCTTCATGTCCTTTTTCATCCATGTACACATTTACCAAACACTTCTGATGTACTTTGTTGTTCTGACTGATTTACAATCCCAAAACAAATTTATTGTAAAAAAACACAACTGTGTAAAAAAAAAAAAAAAAAAAAAAAAAAATGACCAATTGTTTTTTTTTTTTATTATTGTTATCCATCTAAACTGCCTTAAATATAATAACCTTAAATATAAATATATTTCATTGTTTCATTTAAATGTATTCCTTGGATCCTTTTTCTTTTTTGTTGTTGTTTGTTTTTTTTTCAAAAAATTATGCAGCATTTAAAGTATAAGAATTAAACTATAACAGGAAACCTAAAGAATATTGTAGGCAGGATCAGATTATTCTACCTCTTAAATTTGTTTGAGTACAAGCATACCTTGTCTTTTTTAATGATATTATAAAACTTGCCCTTTTGTGTGAAACAACATGTCAGTATTGTATTTGAAACCTCTGTGCCAAATTCAAATGTAAAGATGCTATCCACAGTAAGACATCAGTATGTAAATGATTATTCCTTTAAGAACAATTTAATTCTTAAAACACCCACCTGCCGCCTGCATAAACCTCAGCTGTGTCAAACAAGTTGACTCCACTCTCATAGGCGATGGTCATTAGCTGCTCTGCAACCTGCAGACACGTCACATCAAACACAGAAACACACGCAGAGAAAAAAAAAAGGTGATTCAAAAGTCTGTGTGGACAATTTATCAGTCAGGTTTAATATTTCAACATTTATTCACTTTTTGTTCAATAATTTGGATGTTTCTTCAAACTAGACGTCCAGAGCAGGAAATAAAATATTGATCGAAGAGTTGAAAAATAGGGCAGCCAATAAAAGCATGCAACAGCATATTTTATCTAAACATTATTAGTAATGCATTTTAGCTGGAAGGCTTCCTCAGAGCATGAATATTATCTAAAGTAAGTTCATTTATGTAACATATTTTTACAACAGCAACCTTGAGTGCAAATGCAGAATATAGTAACAGAGCTTCACCTTCATAGCAACAACTGAACAATGCATGGTCTTTAACAGGAAATTATGATTTCAATTGGAAAAACTCACACAAAGAGAAAATACAATTAGGAGAAATTTATTGATACAATAACTTTGTCTTTGGCGCTCAGACCTTGGCAGAAAACATAGCGCTTAATTTTGATGGATATGCATGAACAGGAGCAAAGCATAGGGCTGTTCTCCCCCCCAGGCCTGAAACTGGTGGTGGAGTGGAGATAGATGAAGTTGGTCAGTCTGTAGACTGCTGGTTAGCGAGACGGTATGCTGAGCTTTATGGGGAGATCCACTGGACTGCAGGAGCTGATACTAGAGCTTCACTAAGGGACCTGGAAGATCGAAGTCCAGTTGGATATCACAGGTTGAGAGAACCTGTCCATGATGAGCAAGCATTGAGCAACAGTGGAGAGGAAAAACTCCCCGTTGGGAAGAAACCTCTGGCAGAAGCAGGCTCAACATGGCGGTCTTCTGCTGGATCGGTCCAAATGAGACAGGGAACGCAGTAAGGGTACGGGAGGAATTACACTCTAATGAAGCTTAAGCTATGGTGGTGGAGGAGGGGCTGGAGGTGGGTTGAAACAGTGTCATCTGAATGAAGTCACAGCGCATCCGTCACCTGCGCACAGAAGCAGACTAGTGCGGATTGGAGGCCTTTTAAGATCAACTTTGGATGCTGACTGGCTTTCGTGGAGGTGTGGTTCAAAGCTGATTGGCGGTGTCGCAGGTGGATGTAGAAGAACAATGAGTTTCTTCAGATGAACGTCCGCCTAGGCTCCATTAATCAAACTAAGTAACATTGGTGTAAAACGTTCTTAGTGAGACTTGCTGTTTTGATTCTCTTTATCATATATGCCTCTTGGACAACTTGTGAAAGTTCAGCAAAGTAGCTTCTATTTTGTCATGGTCTATATAAAACTGTTAGAGTATGGAAATGGTATTTAGCCACATACCACAGCTTCTAAATTTCAAGTTAACATAATGGAGCAAGATTCGGTTTTAAGTTAAAACATCAGAAAACCTAAATTTGTAATTGATGTGAAAACACTGGACTTAGCTGTAACTGATCGATGATAACCAGGAATGAAGCATTTAATCCTAGCAGCTGTACTGAATTTCCTTTTCAATCCTGCCTTCCAGAAGAATTGGTCCACCCCTTTGGTTCAATTTGCATCTTTTCTAAGCTATAACAAGGCCTTTTTGGGCCACTCTATAAAGCCTGGAACTCAACGCAATGCAGAGATTTTGAATTGAAAAAGCTTCCTGGATGGGAAGTGAGACTTCTTCAAATTTGGAAAACAAAGCCCAGTGGTTTGTTTTTTAACTTTTTTGGAATGACTATGAGACCTAATATAATTATAATAGATGATGTATTTACTGTGATTCATTATTTTATGTAAAGTAATTGACTCATTGTTCCTTATTTTAGACTTGCAAGTATAAATTTAAGGACATTTTAAAAACTGTGAGCACAAGTATAGCCTAATGGTAAAGTGACATTCATTTAAAGTTTTATTTTTCCACACTTTGCTTTGCCTTTAAAATCTTGATATGCAGACAAAAAGGTTAAGCACAAAAAAAGAAAAGTTCTTTTTGCTTATAAATGGTATGGAATATGATTTGGATAGGTAAAATCAATATTACAAAGTATTTATCTAAATTCTCATTTAAATCCTTTACTTCAAAAAACACTTAAGTTTCAGTCTATTCAAGCCTCGAAACGTTTTTTGTAAAAACATACATTTACAAAATCAGGATCTGTCCTAACCTAAATCAAGCAATCAAGGGCTTTATCAGTGGCATCAGGTGCGCTTGAGACAGACGACCCCAAGTACTCTTTTATCTATGTTAATATTTCATCACATGTTAGAAAAAAGGTTTAATCGACAGAATTCTTTCAAAATCTTAAAGGAAAAATGTTGCAAAACCAAAGTAGTTTAAAGGGATCTGTTACTATCACATCTAGATTTGGCAGAAAGATGAAAGCTCAATCAGATTTTGAGCAAATCAGCATGATGGACACTGAAGCCAAAGTGGAAGTGCGTTAACGGTCGCCATGATTAAGGCTGCAGAATAGTTCTGGCAGTAAGGAAAGAAGTAGGAGGAGGAAGATTGATGTTTCCTATCAATTGCAGTTAGAATAGGAACATTACGCCATTTCTATTCAGTGCTTATGTGCTATATGTATTCATACAACGCTTTGAAGCTGAAGAAGCTGATGCACTTGAGCTTTGGCTTAAGAGTCCTTACCTACTTGCTGTATTTGGATGTTTCTAAGGATCCTGTGTCGAAGAAGGTCATAACAGTAAAGAGTACTAGATGCTTGTCATAATGAGGCTGACTATTTTTTTTTCTTTAATTAGAAGGAACTATTTTTTATAATTTGTGTTAAACTGCTTTAATTGATCAGGTAAGAGGGTTTTTTTAAGCAAGCAGATGCTAGTTTGCAAATTTTTTCAATAAATCACATTTGCAGTGGGGCCCTAAATCTTTTTCTTCTCTACAAAGTAAGGGCAGAGGATAGGTAGTCAAGGTTACAATGTGATGATATCATACAAATCTATAACCAGCATAAGGATTCATTATACATCTTTTTCCCGTTCAGTATAACCATTTTTTCAAAGCCCATCCATATGCAAAAACTGCATGAATATTAATGAAATTCTATTACTTTGAGAGAAAGTTAAGAAGCCATGGAGGAAAAAAAGACAAGGACCTAGAGAGCAGTATCCACATTTAAAAATGTCTCAGTAAAAGTCTCTGAACCCTGGGCTACTGTTAAAATGGAGCAGAATAAAAAGATACGTAATGCTCTCCTTACAAAGAGGCACTAGTTAAATGGAAAAGCATACAGGAAAGCAAGGGGAAGGAGAGAATGAACTGTTTGTTTTCCCTTCTGAGTGCAGATGAGAAGCACACTGCTGTGGGCACCAGAAGGGCATCATTAGTCCAGTGAAGGAACAACAGGCCCTTTTTCTAAGAAAAGGTCCAATATTTTAAAACTTTATGAGATGATAAAAGTTCAACACAAGAAACAAGAAGTAGGCAAGGCTGGAAGTTTTCCAACTTAGTTCTGGAACATTTTTTATACAAATTGATGTATAGGTTAAGCAGTCAGATAAATACATAAGCCAGGCCTTTTCACTCTTTCCAACATACAACGAGTCATTAAAGTTACAGAAACTTTAGGGTGACAACACCTTTCTTTTTTCACCACCTGGTCTGCAAAGGTGGATAGAAAACAAAAGCTTGACAGATATGACAGCAAAGAAAGCCAACGTTTTTCCTCTATCATAACCCCAGATTTAAGGCTGCCACAGCCTCCCACATCCTACCCACACAGCCTCACAGAGGACTTTATAACTGCGCTGCTTTCGCTCCTCCAAACACCACACTGCTTTAGAATCAGAAACTGTAACACCGAGGCTTTCTATAACTCACTGTACAATTTATGGACCTGACTCTGACCTTTTCAAATGAGTAAGCAGTGAAAACTTGCTTACCCACACACTCATGTCAGCTTTCTGTCTGGAAACCAGGTACATTAAAATAGAACCATCCTTAAATATGGACAAAGATCTCCAGCCTTGAATAGAAGCACCTTTTAAAACGGACCTTTAAGCTATGCATTTATTCCTATAAGCCGGTACACAGATGTTTGGGTGTAGAAGTTTGCCAGAAAGCTGTATGACATTGACATCCTAGTGGTTATCAAAAAGCTCTGCTGTCCTACTACCACAAATATAAACCTGAAGTTTGCTAAATCTTTAGACTATTACTAACCAATGTGCTTCGGTCATAAGATTGGAAGTTTTAGGTTTATATTTAAATGTGTAACACCATGTAGAAGAGCATCCCATGTCTACTGTTAAATTTGGTGAAGGATTTACGATTCTGTGGGTCTGATTCACCTCCAAGGGCAACCTTGACAACATGTCCTCATTAAACATTGAAATGCAAGAAGATTCTCAACAAGAATCCATTTGCATCTGTTAGAAATCTTGAAATGGGTTATCATTTGGTTTCTTCACTGGGATAGTGATAACTTCCAGTCCTCCAAAACTACATCCTACTGAAACCATGTTGGGTTCAGTAGCAAAGAGGACAGTCAGACAGGAAGACTCCTGCTAATGATGGAATGAGTGCCATTCAATCAGCAAATGGATGTCGTATAACATATTTACAGCCGGTTTACTCATTAGTGTTCAGTGTATTTCTTCTTTGTCCTCCCAGAAGAACTATAATGACATTAAAGGTTGAACTATATTTATTTTTTTCAGAGATTAAGCCGCTGCAATAAAAGCTGAATTTATTTAAGGCTTGTTACACATCTGTAACAAGGGGTGTCAATAAATCTAGTTGGCACTAAAGACAAATGAAGAAACTTCTGAATATTTTTTTTCCCCTGATGTGCTGAGAGCTTCAGCACTGGGTCAATCATTTCATATCCACTCTGAGCTAACAAGCTATTCCGTCGTAACTCTCTGATGTTCAATTCGCCTGAAGTGGCTGAGAAGTATCTGTGACATCAGTGTTGGCAGCGGAGACATGCAGAATAATTGGGTGAAAAAGGGTACAGCATTTCGTTTTGGCGGGCGGGGGGGCTTGTGTAACTAGATGGTACTCAGCCCCTAGGTATGAAATATAACTCTAGTGTGAGCCTTGTCTTTCTCTGTCCTCTGTGATCAGCTTTTCTGTATTTTCTGTTACTCTGTGTACTTTAGGATCTAATGACCCTGAAACCAAGCTCAAATAATATTAACGTTAATAGGTAAGAGTGTCTGTATCCCTATGTTCACATATAAACACATTAAATGTGTCTCTAAAAGCAAAGTGGTGTTTGTTTTTCATACAGAAGCTTAGATTTGACTTTAAATACATGCATCCTCAATAAAAGAGGCTGTATTGTCTCGATCCAGAGGAATAATGATCACATATTCCCAAAGCTAACCATACAGCTATTAACCCTAAAAAAAATAAAAAGACCCGAAGAATAATAGGCTGTAATCATAGAGAAAGCTTAACTCTAACAACAAGCTCTACTTGTCTAGAGGACAAAGGGAAGCATCATCTATAATTAAATACATTTTAGGAGATTTACAGACTTACGAATATGAGAAAAAAGCATCAACATAATTTAAGGGATCGTTTTAAAGTTTGTTTCAGTTTTTCCACATTTTAATATGAACTTTTCCATCTTTATTATAATGTTAGAACAACATTCTTGCATAGCTGTGGACATCAGTCTAACCGAAGCGCCTTTTGATGCCATTCAGATGTTCAGTCTTATTGAGTCCATCATTGCCATCAGCTATAGGGAATCCAATTAATATTAGTAATAATGGTGAAGTTCAGTCTGACATTAAATCTTTTTTTTTTGTTGTTGTTGCGTTTTTTTTTTTTCGTCTGGTGGGATAACCAAAGTGATTCAAATTTGCTTATAGTTAAAAAAAAGATAGAAATTTGTATGATAGAACGTGTGTACCCGTTTTAGCTATTACAGTTGGCATTGCTGATCCGACTTTGATCAGCTAAACACACATTAAGCCCAACTTACAGAGAAGTAACCCGCTTTACTCTTTACAATGTTCCATATACAGTACGCTTTTACTTTGAAGTCTACACACCAAATAGAAGACAGGAAATACTAAGTGGTTGTCGGGGTCCTGACAGCTGCAAATAGCTTCAGTAGCAGTAAATCTGTTCGGTTTGATATTGATATAGACTACATGCATGAAGTGCTGGTCAAAAATTTTTATAAATAAGACAAATGCATCCACAATGAAATGTCTATCTTTGAGGAGTGGCTCCTCAAAAATAGAAAAATCATGAACTGTTTGCTACTGTAGCCAGGGTCAAATATTCTCTGGAAACAAGTGCTGATGTATGAATGACAATAAAATGGAAGTGTCATGATCTGGGCTCTGACAACTGGCTTAATTATTTATTTCATTCACCTGTCAAACTCTGCCCGGTTTCTAATCATTGCTCATCTGATCCACCTGCTCCTGCTTCTGTTTAAGGTGCTTGTATCCAGCTGTCATGGCCAGATTATTCTCATTCTGGTGTGCCAGTGGAGAGAAGGTTTTAAGCGTGCCATAGTGTTTCTGATTTCCTGATCCGACCTGTTCTGCCTCTTAACCGATGAGCCTGACTGCTGTTCCTGTCTGAACTGTCTTCAGACTCCAGGAACTCTAAACTTTTCTGCTCTGATCTGTTTGTCTGACCTGGCTTCGGACTCCTGCTTGTTATCTGTTCTCCAGAAACCTCTTTCAGCCGGTGGGCTACCATCTTTTTGGTAGCCCACCGGCTGGATCTTACCTCATTCTCTGGACACGGGCTGAACTGTTAAACCAGAGTTTCTTGGGATAGATGCCCTAACTGCTTCTACTCAGATCATCTGTGTTTTAAATAAAAGCTTTTGAGTTATCAAACTGTCTGTCTTGCCTTGAAAACTGGGCCCCTCTCTTCTGAGTCTTCACAGGAAATCTATGGCTAAAATAACAAGTGTGATGTTTAGAGGATTAGCTTTGAAGTACAGAGAGGGAATCATTATGATTTGACGGTGTAGGAGGGTCTGGCATTGCACTAGTTAAAAGGGCATCATGAGGAAAGAAGGTTATGGGGAAGCAAACATCTCAACAAAATATAGCATAGGCAGGAATAAGTCTTTGAGTTGGATGATAATTTCAGGCATAGTGAGAAATTGGCTACTTATTAGCTTTAGGATTTAGGTTTTAGATTTGCCAGCAGAACTCTCAGCTCAATTAAACAAACAAACAAACAAAAACATATGTGAGCAAAGTAGCATCACAATTTTATTCTATTAAAAACATTTCTATTCATCAGCAAACTGGAGAAGTGGAAGGAGACCCTCCCAAAAATAGGACCTAATATTTCAGCTTTAAAGACAGTTATAGGAAACACAGGACATTTATTTAAATTTCTAGGTTTAAAGGAAAATGTTATATATATTCACTCATCAGAAAATAAGCAAACAGCAATAAGATAAGCAAACTGTTGTCCTGCTTAGTTTCAGACTGTGCAAGTGTCCTACCAAAGTTCAACCAAACGTGAACAGGCGAATTATTAAAAAGTTACTCAGATCAAATGTTTCATTTTACACAGTTGCATTTTAGTTCTCATAGTAGTTTAATTATTGTTATATTAAAGGTGGAAAAACATGTCAAGAGAATATTATCATGTTTTTCTTTTTATAATTTCTCTTTATAACATTACTAAAAACCTGGCTTTCTAAAAGAGAGGGCATCCTCTTTAGAGTTGCCGTATGTTTCCTGATATCCTTTGAATAAAGTTTTTCCTGTTTTTTATTAACTGCTTACATTTTTCTGCTCACTGTTAGCATTTTAAAATCCATCAGAACATCCTTAGAACCAGTTTTAACTACATATATATAAAAAAAAAAACATTTGTCATACCTCGTCAGTTATCTGTCCTCCAAATGTGACCCATGTACCTGCAGGAGAGAAGGAAAGGGAGACTTTATCACCTGGGAATTTCATCAAGGTTTCTCTGCTGTCAGTCCTTTTTTCAGTGCCTCTCTTTGTTTGTGTCTGGCATCCAGCGGTAAACACAACTAATCCCAACATTGTTACGCCAGGCGATGGAGGCTGTCAGGCTCCCAAGAGGAAAATCTGGCCTGTTCAGAGCTGCTGCTCGGTGCTGAGGGATCACCTGGTGTGAGTGCCCGTTAGTCACAGCACCTTTTTGGGTGACTGTTTCTGTTTGCTACCACCATGCATATGTAGAAGGTCTTGTCTTCCCTGTTCTCATGTGCATTATTCTGACTATGTGTCAGTATGTGTGTGATGAGGGCAGATGTGAACAAAAGCCTCCCAATGGCCTTGCAGACATAGAGGAAAATCCAGACAAAAGGCCAAGCCTCCTTTCAGAGGAGACAGTAAATCCTCAGCGTATGGTTCCTTAGTGAATACATACCTGGAAGAAAATGCTTCCTATTCAGCTTGTGACAGAACACTTAACAGCGACCCTAAAGCTGTCTGAACCTCCTTACCAGAGGGGAACACATACTGAATATGAAATATATGTTTTCCTTTTTACTTTTATAGGAAAAAAGATCAAAGCCTGCATGATGAACTGCAAGGGTATTAATAGGAAATTAAACATTTGAAGAGGAGACTTAAATGAAAAGTGTTAGCATACACCATAATTTATCAAAGAGATAACTTTTTAGACATTCATGGATCCTTTTTTGTTCTAAAAAAAACTAGCCTTTTCTCCTTTTTGGCTCAGAAAAACAGATTTTCTGAGCCAAAGTTTTTCTTTTTAACTGCTTTTGAACAAATCTGTAAGAAATCAACTTCATCTTCAATTGAGCTTAAGAACTTTGGGGTATTTAAACTCTTTATGTGAAGTAATATTCTGCTTTTGGCTGTAAATAATTTTTAAACTGGTTTGCACAGCACAGCAGATAAATTCCCTGTTTTCTTGCAGCAAGAAGGTCCTTGATTGCTCCAACTGGAGTTTACATCTCCTCCTCCTTATGCATCAGAGTCCAAAAACATGACTGTTAGATTAACTGGTCTTTCTTCATTGACCATTGTTATGAATGGGTGTATGTGTGTTAATCCATTGGTAAATCATCTCATCATCATTTACCTGCTCAGATTAAGGACACATTTATTTTAAGAAATCTTTACTTGTTTTTAGATCATTTCATTGCAGTGCATAACAAGGTAGAAATCCTCTTGAGGGTGGATGAAACAAAAACATTGAAGGTACATGAATACTTTAACAGGGTGATATATGTCAGAAAGAAAATCTGTATTAGCTTGTAATAGCGACCTATTTCAAGGAAAGAATTAACAGAGTTACTTCAGCTGTCAATGTCAACTGCTTACAAACGGTGTCAGCTGAAATGTGTAATTTAATTTAAAAGGTTGTACAAGTAGAAGAGGCTTTAATGTTTAGTTTTTCTCCCTCTAGGAATGCAACAATTAGGTGCTGGATGCTGTTGAATATTTACCTTTCAGATCTAATAGAATCACCTCTTCACTCAGTTTGATCCTCCTGCTGAATCTTTTATCTGTTGTCCTCATCATTAACCCAAATACAGAAGACCTTTACACAAAGAGCCTGTTTTTCTCTCACTTTGTTGACTTTAACTTCTTACCTTTTTATTAAAAAAAAAAAAAAAACGGCGAAAACCCGGTAGAGGAGATATAATGATATGGCTCATTATTCTGACACCCTAAAGACAGACTCGCTCCGTTGTGTCGTAATGTGTTCCTGCAATCTAATGAGGAGCAGAAAGTCTTGACGTGCATCACCAGCAAAACTGCAATCTTGTTCATCACGGTGGTGATGGTCGGCTGGCTGAAGCAATGTCAGCGCCTGAGGGAAAAGTCTCTTCAGGACATTGTTAATGCCTGTAACCATGGCAGCTTTGGTTATCCTCAAATGCAGCTTGAAGCAGAGCCATTACAGCTCAGCACCATAATATAGCAGGGCAGCTGCATCATACAGGATGCCGCCTTTAAACAGTTTCCATTTGCAGGTTTTTACATGTAAACTAGTGCTCAGTCATCCTCCTGGCTGATGCCAGAGTGGGGGAAATGTAACCACTGCTGATGGAGTCCAGTCACAGCTTTGGGCTCTCTGTTTGAGACTCAGCGTGGGATGACAAGCCTGCGGAGCTCTAATGTCAAGGCCACCGCTCCTCTCAACCCTGGCTCTGGCTTCTGTTTGATGGAAGTTATAGCCCTATTTACATCAAGCTAAAGATAGAAAAAGCTGGAGGTGTAGCTTGTTGTTGCTTCAGAGCCTAATTCAATGACCTTTTAGCATCTTAGCTGAAAGTGTGATGCATTCAACTAAGTGAAGCTTCAATTAAATTCTAGTAAGGACGTTGGGGAGTTGGTAATCATATTCACAGTAAAATCCTGCCTTGCTATAACCTCCCTTTACAGAGAATTACTTATAAACAAGTTAATCTAGCAGAAGTTCTAGTCTTTTGGCAAAATATGTTATCCTTTTAGGTAGTTTTACCCCATAATGATACTACGGTATTAAGTAACACATGCAATTGCAGAAGTTTACGGAACAAAACCTGAAAATATCCCTGATTTTTTAAAGTATCTAACAAATAAATATCTAAAGGGATTAGGAAACTTTCTTATTTGTTCAGCACCCCTGGATCAAAACTTTATAGAAGTTTGTTTCATTACGTTTAAAGGAATGAGATTTTGTGGCTTTGTCTATAGACAGAGAGACTGACCCTAATCGTTCTTCAGGAGAAACTCAACCTTGGTCAGATTGAGAAGAGTGTCTGACTGATTGACTTTATTGATCTCACAGTGAAGAAATTCACTCGTTTATCAACTCAAATAGACAGAAAGAAGAAGATGGTACCAAAACGAGGAAAAAGGTGCAAGGGGGTATATATAGTACTTACAGTACATCCACATGTGACAGCTGAAGTCTCTTGAAAAATTATTTTTATGTATCACAGATTTATTTGGCTGGAAATTCTGACTCTGGAAATGCTTTTATATGATATTCTCTATTACAGCCTGACCCAACAAGAAGGGTTGTTGAACTGCTGGAAGGTGACCTCCCTCCCCACCATCATTCCAAGCCTTTGGAGCCTGTAAAGTCCGAGGATCGTGCTGGATTTGCCGTCATATACAGTCCTGTTAACTCTGACTGGCTTCCATTTGAAATAAAGTATCCCCACATCATGATACTCTCAGCATCATGATTTTTTTTTTTTTTATTGGAAATGGTGTACTCAAGATTTGTGCCCCCCAAAATGCTCTACATATTGGCCTATCGGTTTGATTTAATCTCATCTGACCAGAGCATCTTTTGACCAGTTTGTAATGACTTTCCTTTAATGATGGATTTAATTTTTCCCTTGTTCATTAAGAGCAGATCTGTGGAAAGCATGGCTAATATCATACATGCAGAAAGGTCTCCAGTCTGCAGTGCATATTTCTGCAGCTTCTTCAGTCATCCTGGACCTTTTGGTCATTACTTGGAAAAATGCTTTCAGTTCCTACTCTGTATATTTTTAACAAACCTCTTAAGCCTTTACGCTGCATTTGAACAGGTGGAGTTTATTGGGTGTCTTGTGAAGGCAGTTGCATTGAATTTTATTTGCAGGTTTCACTGAGTGCCCAAAATACATATGCACACTTTTATTTTCAGTCTTTAGCTTCAAAAGAGGTTTAGAAAATTGTTACTTTTATGTCACACTGTTATCCTTAGTGATACTGATCTATTACTTAAAATCCCAACAAAATACAATGACGTTTGAGGATGTAATGTGGTAAGATGGTTGTCAATATAGCTGTCCTGCAAATATGTAAATCATCATCATAGATTGTTTTTTCTTATTTCTGGTTTCATTTATGTTCTAAAACACTTTTTAAGACATCCAGACTGTTTCCTTGAATGTTTGTGAATTTTCAGACATTCTTTTTTTTTTTTCAGCCGTATCCATGCTTGTCATGATTAATAGACGGACAGATTCAGCAGACAGATCTAATTTTAAAAATCTTTGTTAAACAAACCTGAGGTGATAAAAAGTTCAGCATGATAAAATAAAAAGCCCACAGGAGCAGGAAACATGGCTGACCGGAGGATCTGACAATAACTAATGAAGGCTATTTGTAATGCTAGAAGTGATAAAGTGAGTAGATGTGGGTGAGAGATTAGTCACAGGTGGTGAAGTGATGTATAGACAAGACTTAGGTTATAGGGGACATCCAGAAAGCAAGAGATCATAAACAAACTAGATGGGAAAAGTTAAGCGTATGGGGGATTGAAACTAAATAGAGCAGAGTATATAAAAAACACAAAGTTATGAACAAAGCTTTCACAAAGTTAGTTTTGTTCTCGAAGGGTTTGAAACATAGTGCTAAAAAGTTCACATCCAGCATGTGAATTTCAGCCCGAAGATCTTTTTGTATCCCTTGCTCTGATAGACAGCAAACACCTTATACACTTATTTTCAGTTCAGTTGCAGCTCTTTGTCCTGTCTGGGCTGTTCTTCAAGCCTTATTGATTTCTTTATTTCTTTCTGCAGTTATATAATTTCTGTCTTTTCCACTCTATTGGCTGTATGAAAATAGAAAGCAATGCACAGAAATAGGTTCTCTTTTTTTATATAAATTACATCTTTGATAACTAAAGGCAGCATCATAAGCCACAGACTGAAAACATAAGAGCATAATCAACAGCAGCTCGTGATCTTTACGTTCATAAAGGTTAGAAAAAAATCTTTACATTTATCCCTAGAGCTGTAAAAAAATGTTTTATGTTGTTTGATTTTAAAGCAGAGTTGGAAAAAATATAAATTAAACCTGCTGAATTTAGCTTCTAATCTTACTGTAGGTTTATTGTGTTCAACTATAAAAGGCTAATTAAAGAAGTTTAAGCAAATAACTCCTTATAACCAACTATCTGTTTGGATTGCCATTCTGCATTTGCCTC